GCACTTTATTTTTATATTATTTTTTTAGGGATGCATGAAATCCTATCAGTATTTTTAACACTCCCCTTTTTTTTTTTTTTTTTTTTTTTTCCCATTCTTTTGCTCAGTTAGATCAGCTCCTTTTGTCAGGATGAGTTTAAATCTGGGTCCACTGTGTTAATCACCCCCCTTTCTTCTTTCTGGCACTTCCCCTCCAGGCATTTTGCCTCTTTAGGAGATTAAGCGACCAAGTCATCTTGTTGCTCTAACATGTCCTCACTGGAGCAACATATTAACACAACTCCTCTGCAAAAGAGCCCTCTTTAGAAGTTTGCTGCAGGGATGACAAATTAACCCAGCATGGTGTCCCACACATCTATCTCAGTACAAATTATTAGTGTAATAGAGGTTTTAGTTATGCATTTATCTAGTAATTATTGAACGGTTATACAGAAGGAAGCTGAGCAATCGTGGCCCTTTATGAGGCGAGCTCGGTGGGTGGTCTTACAGTTAATTTAGGGTAGGACTGTCTAAGCAGCTCACTCACACACAAATTAGCTGAACAGCCTGCTCCTTTAAATATTTCCTATGTCACAGGCTAACTCTTGACAATACAACAAAGGTAGAGTTTTAATTACACGGTCTCTGACTTTTGTTTAGCTGGAGCTTTAACCCTTTGCAGGTCTCCCTCTCTGCCCTCCGTGCCCGGGCTGCAGCAGGAGGTGGCAGTTTGGGGATTGTGTCATGGCTAAAGCCCGACCTTGAGGCCATCTGTTGGGAAACTGCTTTTCCTTCAGCACCAGCTTGCTCCAAAGTGAGTGCAGAAAACCAAAATATTCCCTTGCTCAGTCAGCTGCCCTGACATTGCAAACTGGATCATGCAAACTCGTCTGATGGTCAGCGTGGTGCTCTTTATGGATTCCTCAGCCTTGTGGTGTGACTCTCCTGGCTCTCTGGCATCACTCTGTGTGTCAAGCTGCACCCATTGTTTTTGTCAAAATTCGGGGGGATGTGAAGGTTATAGCACTGTGCCAGCTGCCAGCACCAAGAAGCAGCCAGAGAGACCATACAGAACGGGACATTACAAAATGTCTTTGTACAATGTGCACCAGGAACCATCACTTTGATTCACTTGGAGCTGGCTGACAGGACAGCGAGCAGGCACCAGGACTTTGGTGACCCAGTGCAGGATTCTGATAGAGAAGGACACAGTATCTTTCCAGATATGTGACATAAGGGTTTTGCCACTTTGGCATGAACAGAGAGTACTGTGCTGCAGCGTTTCCCTGGCAGGCCTTGTCCTGATAAAAGTCTAAGTGGCAGTGGTAATTATGGAGGAAATTAATATAATGGAAACCAGTCCACTCGTTGACTTTCATCCCTTCTTCTCACACACCCCCTTCCTTGGGTTCTTGCCTTCGTGCTGTATTTCTTGCTTCTTGTAATTGTGTTTCTCCTTCATTTATCTCCCTAACACACCATCTCATTGTTTTTGTTTTTTTTTTTTCTTTCCTTGCCTTTTCTTCCTTTATTTTTTGGCTTGCAGGATCCACACTGTCATATTCCGTGGGAATGCTTGAATGCTCTGCAGCACAGGCTGCTGTACATCCTGGCTTTACAAGATCGTGGTCAATTTAATGTTTCAGCCAGCTCCAGTTATAAAGTCACCAGAGTGTAAGTAGCAATACATGGAAGCCTAAAACCATTTATGTAAATACCGCTGTCACCCATAGTATTTAAATCCTTCACTGCCTGGTGAAGAGTTCAAGTGGTTTGGGAAGCTTTGTGAGATGCCAGCAACCCACGGTGGCTTTGCCATGCTGGAGTGCTCTGGTGAGCTGTGCTGACCAGCAGATAATCTCATTTGCAGGTAACAAAAGTATGCCTGAGTAGGGGAGAGATCTGGCTGCTTGAATTTTCAAGGCTTTGAAATAAATTCTAAAACTGATAGTGATGCTAAAGCCACCCTATAGGTGATCAATTTACCATCTGCCAGACACTGAATCCTAACCATGCTGGTCCAGAGAAGACATATGGTGCATTCATAGAGTCATGCCCAAAAAACTGCCATCATCAAGTGAGGCTCCATGAATCACTTTGCTAGCTTATCACCAAAGAAACTTGGATCTTGCCACCATCTGTTGGAAGTACTGAGGAGTCACTGAAGCATTGGCATCCCTGCGCCAGCACTCGCTGCACATCTGGTCTGCTGGTCAGCCAGCTCAGATCCTCTCTCCTGGCTACTGCCCAGCTGGGCCGGGCACTGGCAGCAGCACCAGTGCAGACAGGAAGGAGTGCACAGCCTTCCACAGCACAGCACATCCAGGCAATTCCATGAGAGCAGAGGTTTTCCAACGGGTTCGTTGGGTGGAGCACCTCAGAGCTAGGAAATCCTCTTAAGGATCTTACTCCTCCTCCAAGGAAGGTTTGTTTCCAAAATGACTCATTGTGGGGACCACAGGGAAGGGCATTCAGTATCCTGGGACGCCCCAGCATCAGACGTGCAGTGTATTCCAAGGGATGTTTGGAAGCGTGTGAAAGATTTGGGAATATTCCCGAGAAGTTATAAATCACTGGTTGTCAATGACAACACCTGCCATGAATAGTCTACAGCTTCTTCTCTGCTGTCTATTTTGATCATGCTTTACAAATGCATCTCATACACACATCCAAGTGATAAACTTGCACATACGAACATGAGAAGGAGATGGAACCTCCTTGTGATTGTCGTGTTGGCTGAGGAGCTTACTCTGATGGTGACCTACTTACTCACAACTCCCCTTCCTCCAAAATCTCTGCAGAATGGAGATTAAATCCTGCTCTTTGTTTTCCAAAGACCCCTCGGAATGACCTGCCCCTGACCATTTACATAATGCACCTGTGTCCAGAGGGAATTTAGCCTGTGTGTGCTGTACCATCATCTCTGCAGAGGCACAACTCCCAGTAACTACTGGTGGAAGTGAATCTCTCAATTATATCCTCTTATATGACAGCATTATACTCTTTATGTTGCCACTTCTGATACCTGAAAAGCTTCTCTCTTCTGCTTACTGTCCCTAAAGTACGCCGGAGGCGATGGGATAAAGAACAAAGCTGGATTTGCAGAAAATAATCCATCTCAGTAGATCACCCTTTACTAACAGAATGATTGTTGCAGCAGGGAAATAAACACAGCCAGTGTGCTGTGGAAGAAGAATACTGAGGAGGAATGTCCCAGAAGAACAAAGAATGAAGTCTGGGACAAGATTTTTTTCAGGATGATGGCACTTAAAGAAACCATGGATGGATTCAGAGGGATTTTCTTCCTGGAAGTCAGTGAGACTTTGTGAACGAGTATGAAAAAGAAGATGCTTCTAAATGATGCTGCAGAAGAACAGTTTTGGTTAACTTTTTAGGAAGCCTGATGATTTAAAAGCTGTGTTGCTTCTTTGTGGAGTTAGTAAAGAACATCTCCTTCCAAACAAACAAAATGTGGGACTGTAATAATTCTATTTGCTTTTCTGGCTCCCACTGAATGTTCTTCTCACGTAGCCAATGGAAATCCCTCAGTGCACAGAAAAAGTCTTGTGAAAACAAGACTGTAGATGAGATTTAAACAAGGCCTCACCACTGAGACATTTCCTCTCTCAACCACACAAGAATCCAAAGCACAGAGGGTCTAAACAGGGGCAGACAAAGGCAGTCAATGATCTTAAAAAATTAGTGTGAGGTAAAACACAGCTAAATAAAGAAAGGCCTATTAACTAATCAATCAACAACTGAAATCTAAAAGGCTGAACTTCTAAAAGACAGGAATTGGGAGTCAGCTGATGTGCACTGAATAGAATGTTAATGGAAGCTTCATATTAGTCATACTTGTATCACCAATTATCCAGGCTTTTAAAAGAGGGCATATTTGCCAGACAGCTCGGATCCAAATTTCAAGGGAAATCTCTATAGAGCTTAGATGCCTAAATTTCTTCTGAGGATCTAGGTCCATGTCTAAGGGTAATGAATAATTTTTATGGATTAACCACAACAACTCAAACTACAATAAGCAGATTTAACAAAGCACAAAACCTCCTGAAGTGCAAGTCTGACCTTGCTTCAACTTTGTGCAGCTCCACCATTTCTCACCACATCACCTGGATGTGCAGACAAAGAGGCTCCTCCTGGTTTATGCTGCCCTCAGTAAAACCACACTGATGCCAAACAGACATTTCCAAATAATTTCTAGGATGAATTGCTAATATGCGTTTTTATGCTTCACCATTCGATCAATTCCTTAATAATCTTCTCTAAATGAGGCAAAATTTCATAGCAGAAAGAAACGTGTCACAACCATTCATTCCTATTTTTATATCTTCCAAAGAGGTTTGTAAGAGGATTCATTCATTTGTGTCTCTTCTACGCCCAAGTGAGTTCCTTTTCAAACGTGAATTCCGTATTGCATTTAGTTTTCTAGGCTAAATGCAAATGCATCTTTCTAACAAAAATGTATAAGCACATCTAGACCCAGAGGACATCTCTTCTACTCGGAAAGTCAGTCAGAAGAGTTCTGAGAAGGAAACCAGCCAAAGTGTTGCAGGAACCAACTTCAAAGGAGTCCCCTAACAAGGCACACTGACACCAGCAGCACAAGAATAAATGACTGGCAGAAGGAAATCCACAGAGCTGGAAGACAGGCGTAGGTCAGAAGTGATGGATGGGTCCCTGTCTCGAGCAGTTGGACCGAGTCAACGTGATGGATGGCCACAAGCAGAAGACACTTCCCTGCAACACATCCTGTCCCTTTCCCCACCCTCTTCCAACAAAACCCCAAGGCCCCAGAAACCAACGTTTCCACCTTGGGTGCTCATCAGGAGCTTTCCCAAAAGCAGCCCAGCCTACGAGAACCAGCCTCTGGACACCTAAACCTGCAGGGTGTGACGGCTCGGGCGCAGCCCCTCGCTGGGCGATGGCTTTCCGTGGAGCGGCGCCGGCGCGGCCGCGGGCGCCGTGGCCACCCTGGGGTGCCTGGGGGCTCTCGGGAAGGGCCTCACCTCTGGGTCCTGTAATGACAGGTCGATGGTGCTGTGTGAAAGCCGTTCCAAGGGAGGAGGTCTGCGAAGGCGAGGGACTGCTGAAACCAGACTTCTCTGACTTCTTTAATGTAGTTGGCGATGGCATTCCTGGCAAGAATGATTGATAAGTGCAATTTAATAATGCTAGGTCATGGAACGACAGCCTATGCATTGTGAAAGGGGGTGCAGAAGCAGCTAGACACACTTAAAGGACAAATGAAACGCAGCGCAACAGCAAGCTGAAAGCTCACTTTTATTTGTGGGGTTTGTTTTTGTCAAGGCAGAAGCAGCCATGGTTTGCTCAGAGCCATGAGTACTAAAAGGCAGCCATATTTTTCTTATAAAGCTGAAATACAGACAAGATGCAGCTTATTATTGCTACTGAAACCTACTCTGCTTTATTTTTAGAAATCTGTAATAGCTGGAGCATTTGGATTTTTACAGGTTTTTTATGAGTTCTGTCTTTCACTCCTTGGTTTAGTAGATTATTGCAAATGGATCTTCTAAATGTGCCGCACGACTCAAGGCACAACCAGAGAATGGAGTTCTCTGAGTTCAAACTCTTCCTCCCCTCACTCTCTTGACTTCAAAGGTATTTGAAAGTTATAAGTTTATGTGGTTCTCTTTCGCTTTCAATTTTATTTTTTTAAAGGCTGAATGGTATTTATGTCTTGATATTAGAAACTGCACTGGAATTATTCTGGAGCTGTTACAATGCCCTTGAACTGCATCAAAGGCTCCCAGTGAAAATCAGAGTTAAGTTGGCACTGGGTGAAACCTCTGCCGTGGACAGGCAGAAATGTTGTGGTACTCATCTGACTTGTTTGGTATACAGGGTGAGAATAACTCCTGTTGATGCTATAACATAGCTGTGGCATCAATAAAATTCAGGGAATGAACACATCGCAGCGGGCTTTTAAAACCCAAGCCTTTTCTGTGTATGTAGATGCTTGGATGGAATAATTTTACAGAATATACATTAAAAGTATGCATGTTTGTCTGTACTAGCCTATATTTTTGCAGTTCTAGATGCATCTGGGTATTCTGATTATCAGAATGCATCCTGAAAACTCAAGATTTCCGGTATATACAGCCCACTGGGCATTCTGCATATCTGTAGGGATATAGCAAAACAAAGGTGGGGATTTCAAGTGGAAAAGCAAAACATCATGTAATGTGCAAGTTGAACTTTCCACTAGCAAAGTCATTTAATTTAATTTCTAACTCTGCATTTTATAGCATTTAATTGTTAAAAAAGTAAAGAGAGAGGCCTGGACAAGATTATCTCTGGACTATATTATTAACTTTATATTTAATAAGACTAGTTTTATAGCCCTGGGATGTTGATGGCAATATGCAGGAGCCTTCTTGTACTTTATACTCTGCACTGCTGGGCCTTAATGGTTTCAGTGAGGCTTTGGAGTTTATATTTCTGTAAGTTAAATAAAGTGAGGGAATGGTTTGAGTTCCAGTGTGGTACTTGCAGCTTTCTGCTTCAAAACTTCTTTGCTACAGGGTTTGCTGTTATGGTGGCTTTTAGGAAAGGTTACAGACTTAACATTTGAAAAATCAAAGCTTAGAACTGACTATGATGCAAGAAAAATATTGAGTTGAGGTGTTTTTTTTTGTTGTTGTTTTTAATGTGTTCTTAGGGACTTTGGAGCAGGAACAAAAGCAAAAATTAGTTCAGTTTCAGGGGAAGAGAGAAAAGGAGATTGAACTGAGGTGTTTCAATGAAATATTGCAGTGCAGCCTGCTGAATTTCTGCTCCAGTGGGATGTAACTTAGTCATGGCATGTCCATATTCAGGGCAAGGACACTCAAAGGAATTAATGGTGCTGCTGACCCAGATTTCCCTATGATGGAAGAACTGGGGAGGGAAACACCAAAGGAGTGTCAACCCCAGTGCTAAGTACAAAATATTATGGACAGTCCAAGAGACTTTTATGCACAGGGGAGGCTCACTAAAATTTTCCAGCATGGGAGCTGCTTCAAGAGCAAGGTTGTACAGCCCATGAGCAGGGACCCAGGTGGGACATGAGTTACCTGAGCCCTGGGCAGGTGACAGAGGTCAGGAATGAGATCTCAACTCTGTGGCTCAGGAGCTCCCTGCTTTCCCTGGCTACAAACCCTCTTCAGGGCAAAGATAATAAAGCTTCTAAACAAATGAAGCAGCTTTTCTTTTACCCCTGTGTTACAAAAAATACCCTGCAGGACTCATCTCTAAATCACAGCAGGGAGAAGGGGCAGAGGGAGTGGAAAATGGTTAAAAGCTGCAGCAAGTTTGTGTGATTGTGTCCAAACACTGGAATTTGAGGAGCTACAAAGGAGCTGATGAATGACCTTGAGTGTGGCAATGCTGAGCAGTGTCATGTTCATATGGGGATGGGTTTTCTAAGGTTGAGGCAGAGACTTTCATGTGAAAATAGAGATTTTAATGTAACCCTATGCAGGGAAATTGAGTAGAAAAACAAACTGAAGCGCTGATAATTGGTTGCTACTTTTGCTCTATTTGTTTGTTATCGTTCTGATTGCCATTATTATCACAAGTTTGGTTCATTTATTTATTTTTTTTTCCTGGGTATTTTGAAATGTATTGGTTTGGAACAGTCCAACTATACCATGTTTTTGTTTTGTTTGGTGTTTGTAATGACACATTTTATTTTGAGTGATCACATCCATCAGATCTCAAGAAAAAAATGGCTGCTTCCTAGTTCAGAAGAATATGCAAACAGGAGCTTAATTACATCACTTAATATTGACCAGAAGAAAGAAGAAAATGAGCTTGCCAGCTCATTTCCAAAGCATGTTTTGTCCTTTAAGAGGGGAGGGTATGACAGAAAGTTAGGCAGTGCAAAGCAATTAGCATCATTCACATTTTATGTTGCGCTAGCATGGTGCTCTAGCAGCAAAATTCAAACATTCTTTGAATGGGTTAATAAAAGAAGAAATACAGTCGGCATGCAAGAAAAAGGTTTCCAAGAACAAGCCAAAATATGTCCCATTCTTCTAAATTTATCACAGCCATGTCACATTATCCTTGAGACTGCCAGGAATGTCAATTTTTTTGCAATTTAAAAAAAATATCTCATTTAGCACCATATGTTTGGTTAATGTGCCTGATATATCCTGTGTATTCTTTAGTCCATCCATTTCTAATACTCATTTTCTTTTTTTCCTCCCCTTGCTAAGCCATATGTTACCATACTGGTCATTCTATCGAAGCTCCTTTCAGGAGCTGAGAGCGAGGGCACTCTTGTTTAATCACCAAGAAAAACTTTGAATTCTACAAGCCTCACTTAGGTGAGCAGTCTCAACACTTGAGTTAGTTGTAGGTGCCTGGTGCCTATGAAAATCAGGCCACCTATGAGGTGGCACAGTGTATATTAACTATGAGGAAGGAACTAAAGGTAGGTGGCTAAACATTGAATTAGGTGTTTAATTTCTGGCACCCACGTTTGAGACTCTTGGCTAGTTTTAAGGGGCTTCTGCTCCAAACCTAATGAGTTTTAACACATTTAGCGGCCCTCAGTCCGCAGGGCCCCTCCTGTGCTGCTCAGAGATGCAGGAAATTAAAAAGTTAAGGCTGAAGGTAGCTTGGGCAGAGCTGGGGATGCATCCCGGGAGGACGGAGCTGCCTTGACAGCTTTCCTCAGTGATTACTGGGGACCAGTGCACTGAACACCAGATTTCAGCACTTCACAGGACCCTGAGGAAGGGGCAGTGCCAGCTCTAAGGACACCCCTGAGTCCCTGCTCTCCTCTCTCTGCTCTCTGGTGCAGGGCAGCAACAAATTACAGTCTCCCCCAGCCCGTCTCAGCTGCGCTGGCCGGTGGATAGGGAATGGAGCCAAGGATCCTCCCCGTTCCCTGCCTCTCTCCATCCATCTGCTCTGAGCAAGGGATAAACAAGAACAGCCAGAACACAACGGCTGGGTAACCCAGGTGGGGGTTAAAAGTGTTCCTCACTATTCTGTGGATAGGACTCTTGTCCAAATCACAGTCACACCTGGCGCTTTTAGGAAGCACAGCTTTCAGAATCCAGGTCTGAGTCTCCTCTGAATGTTATTTAGAGTGAGAGAGAAGAGAATCAGACTTTTGTCTATTTTCATCTTATGGCAGCTTTTAACTACAGAATAAATGGAGAAGTTAATTGCTAAATAAAAGAAGAAAATAAAGGGATTTATGGCATAAAACGCAGATGGAAGCCTGAGTGGGTGTGCTACTTTAACTTACTGTACTTGTGCTCATGTGATTCTACATGTATGCCAAACATATATGGTCTGAGCCTGCTCCCATTAATATAAATCTGTTTTATTCACTGGACAGAGGGAACCTGATCAAAGACCATGATGGTGCTAAATGGAACAAGATGTGTACTTTTGTATTTTTTTCCAAAAGGAAATATTAATTTGACATTGGTTTTTCGGTTGAGAAGAATTTTAATTGCAGTACACAATAAGCAGAAAATTCAGACAACAATAATCTTGAAACTGTTAGCAGCAGCATTATATTTCTGTCAAGGAATTTGTGTGCTTTTTCAACATTAGAGCTTTCTGAATTTTCATTAATTTGGCATTTCCCTAAACACACGAGTTATTATTTTGTTCATTCCACATCATGCATCACACCCTTCTGCTCAAATGCATAATGCAAGCGCAAATGGGATCCTTGTCCTTGGGAGACTCTGGTTACTGGAGCCATTGGATGATGAAGTCCCGCAGAAAGACTTTCCAAAACTCTGCACTTCGCAAACCTCCAGCCCAAGTTTAATGAGTGCACAGGAAAACTTCGTGTTCCTCATCTTCTAAGGGGCACTGGAGCATTGTGGTGGGTTTAATTCCTCTACCTCCTTATGTTTGCCAGTATTAGAAATGCACCACATAAGAGTCTTCCTTGAGTACAGCTAAAGGTCTTCAAATGTTCATGTATGAGGCTGATATATATTTAAATGGACCAAAAATGATGCGTGAGAATTGAATGCACAGATCCTCCCCAGAACAAACAAGTATCTGCAAACCTCTTTTCCATGTACCTGCCACGTGCCTTACTAAAAAAATCAGGATTAACTCTGATGGAGTGAGCGGAGTCATAGCAAGAGGAGAACAATCCCCCTTCTCTCCAAACCTAAACCTGAAAATCCATCCAATTTCACTTGATTAATTACTGACATTATTCTACCTGCACGCGTCTCACACAACAACTCCATCTCTTGTTAGCTACGTTTGTACACCAGCTCATATTCATCTCCAAAGACCTTTGGATAATTATCCCAATTTTCCCAGTAGCTCTCTGCCACTAGACTCTTGATGGAGATTTCATAACAAAAGCTATGAGTGAAACATGGTCTGGATCCTCCTTCCCAAGGCACACTAGGAAAAGGAATCATGGAAGCTCAGGTATTACCAGGTGGACCATGAACTCGACAACATGCAGAACAAACAGATGAAGCAGAAAAACAAGTTGGCTGTTGAAGGAAAAAAACTGATACATGGGAAGCATTTTTCAAGGAATTTTCATCCTTCTGTGTGAATTATTCCAGCAATTCCACTGAAATCAGTATCAACAGAAAGGCTGATCAGCTGCTCTATTTTTTTCTTTTAATTCCTGGGGAATTCTTAGTTTCAAGCTTCTTGAAACGTTGACGGCTACCCTCCTGCCAGTCATAGTAAGTCTGTTCTATTTAGTGCTGAGCAAACTTTGTCATCAGCCGAGATAGGATCACACTGACTGCCATCCATCAGTTTACGGTATTAATTGCTCCAGTATACACAAAATCCAACACAGATGGAAATTCACTCATCCTAATGAAGTGCTCTTTAGTTTCTACGTTCTGAATGGGTACTGGCTCCCCTGCTTGCAGCCGGAGTTACCATGATCACTGATTAACTACCTGCCAGCGGAGCACCTCGCTTCACAAGGCTAAATCCAGCTTAATAAACAGTGATTTTTACAGAAGAAAAATGTAAGCTCTCCCTCTATCCACTTATCAAACTGCTGCATATGCATCACCAACACACACATCCAGTTTCCTCAGAACTCGACATCTGACAGATCATCAGGAAAACAGAGCTAATCTATCCGTACCCATCAACATCGTATCATAGGTGACTGCCAGATACTTAAGAAGCCATCCAAAAGAAATGTCACAACTCTTTTTCAAGACACTACAAAAGAAATGATCCAAATAAAATAAAGCAAATGCACGTACAAGTAAATGAGCCAAAGAACTTAATAAAAAGAGATTGATTAAAATGAGGACCAGAATGTTCAAAAAGGACTGAGAGAGAGAGAGAGGTGCCAAAGGCGCATTAAATGGATTCAATGGCTTTAAGTTTTAAATGCTTTTGGACTCCTTAGCAATTTTTAGCCAAAAATGATAATTCAAGTTAGAATCAAAATTCTGATGTCACTTAGAGAAAAAGAAGGTTGAAGTTTCTCCTTTGCAAATGAGCCCAGATCCATTTGCGAAGGAGAAATATCAGTTTACAGTGACGGACAACCTTGCCTTCAGAATTTTAAAGCTGAGCACTACAATATTCACAATTACTATTAAATCCTACCCCATGAAAGTCTGCCTAAATTGTTTGGTACAACGTTCTCATAGAGTGTATTACCTTGTCTGTTTGTATCTGTGTTTACAGCATCATCTGGATTGTTTTAGGTCGCTTAAGTTAGGCTTCATTCCTGCTCTGCCACCCAAGCAGTTCTTTCAATAACTAATAAACTAGTACTCAATATCTTACCAATTTCTTCAAAACATAATTTCATGAGTTATATATTTAAAAACTTTAATGAGAAGAGCAATAAACAGCAGGATAACAGTTGAATTCTGTCTTTGAGTTAATGTCAGTTTCGGCGTAATTTTCCATTGTACAAATATATATTGCAAGAAGAATAAAAAAAAAAATTCTAATGACGTCTTTAGACATCTCGTCTAAAATTCATGACTACATTTGTTTCATTTCAAATGCTACTTGAGAGTTTTTCAGCACACTTGGCAGATTAGATATAGCAGCAGGGACAAACTGCAGCCATCCATAGGAGAATATACCTTTATGTGGGTGCTTTGGGGATGGAACATCTATAGCTGCAAGGCAAAAAATGCCATCATAAATTTGGATGGCATTTACAAAGCCCTCTAAAAAGTCTTTGCATATGATTATAGCTGAGGTATGATATTTTTGCAAGTAAAAGACCCAGAATAGATTTATGTTTCAACTATATCTTCCTGAAGATGCATATGGATCCTAAATTGCGAGTGATACTAAAGGAAATCTTAGTAACTGAAGAGGATGGAGTAAAATTTTGGGGGTTTTATTTATTTATTTAATTTTCTTAAAAATAATTTGCTCATTATTTGCATGTCATCAAGCCATCATTGGCTACCCAGGCTATATATAACAATGATGGGTGCTAAATGCCCCAGGCATGAGATGGAGATGGGTAAATATGCAGATTTTCTGGACTTGTGACTTCAGTTACTGCATGGTAATGTTTTCAAATGACTTTTATGATGACAAGACTAAGTTTGGTGCTAATATTGGTTTTGAAGATTTAATTGGTGTACAGTGCCATTGAACATGTGTTTTAATTAATGAAAGAGCTGTGGTCAGAATTGAAAATAGCCCAGGTGATTTACCACCGACTGTAAAGCCACCTGATTTCTGCACAATTTAAGGTGAAGAGTTTATAGGTTATTCCAAAGGAAGAAAGAGTTGCAAACTGAATTCATGTGCATTGTACCAAGGGATGTATAATTTGGCAGGTCAAGAGTGGACTCATGGAACTGTTATGTTTTGGTATCCAGTGGTTCCTGATGTTTCCCCCCTCTGACTGCCCGTGTGTGACAGTCAGGGGACTGAACCCTCCACAACACCAGAAATAATTTGTGGCTGCTGTGCTCCTTCCTGGAAATGCACACTGGAGTGACACTGGGGACCTGCCACCAGCAGAGAGACAGAAACCACTTCCCCACAGGTGACAGCAGCCAGGTGAGACCAGCTCCCTCCTCTGCATTCCCAGTGGCTCCAGGATTCCCTGAGGGAAGGCAGAGCACTTTGGCTTTGGCATGGTTTCCAGAGGAGCCTGGATGGCCCTGCTGCTTGCAGGTCTGCTCCTGGGAGCTGCCCAAGCCCTCTGCCACCCAGAAAACACCCCTGGCAGCGAGGCAGAGAGCTCCCAGGGAAAATCCCCCTGCAAGTTCCATGGAAACAGGCAGGGCAAGGGCAGAGGTGCCATGGGAGTGCCCCCTCCAGCGCTGGCACTCTGGCAAAGTGCTTGGCACGAGCTCTGTCCCCGCTCGACACCGGAGAATCCACACTGAGGGGGCAGCTGGGACATCCCCCCCCAAACCAACACAAAAACTCTGTGCACCGAGAACGAGAGCATTGGCATTGTTTGAATAAGCACACCCACCATGAAGTGCTCCGCGGTGTTCGGGGTTTCTTAGATATCCTGATTTTATAAAAGAAAGTAAAAGAAGAAAAAAGAAACAAGGTGAGAGAGAACACTATCATATTTCGTAGCAAGCAGGATACTGTGTGAAATCTTGGCCCAGTGAAGTGATAAAGGGGAAGCTTTCAGTTTGCTTAAGGGAAAACTTACGAGCAAATAGCAAAATTACCAAAATACCACATTGCAGAAAATAGGTGCATTTAGGTTCAATTAAGCTGTAAAAAGGAAAATGGCACTTTAGCTTACAAAAACCAAGGGACACAGGGAGCTATCAGAAGCAACTTTACAAGATTTGTGTGCGTGAGGATGCTGCTTCACTGGACCAAGAAAGCTACAGTATGGGACAGGATTTTTCTTTTATCAGACACTTTTGCTAGATAGCTTTGTCCAACCTCAGAAACTGCTGCTTTGGCATTATGAAATAATCCTACATAACTTGATCTCATGATCTTAGGAAACACAGAAAAATAGTCATGCCAAATCAGATTACAGGGATCCACCTAGTCCAGAATCCTCTCCCTGACAGTGGAAAATAATGGACACCTAGGAAAGAGTAAAAAACCAGGGAAAGCATACAGTGCTCATTCTCCAAAACACTCCCAAATGATTTGTCATTCGAGGACTTCTAGGACAAAGTTGATATCATGCTAGTGAAGCTGCTCGAATCCAAATGCACAGATTTATATCCCCCCCTCCTCCCTTTTTTTTTTTTGGATTTCTACCCCCATGAGATTTCTACCAGTCACACAGAAAAGGTTTCACAGTTTGGTGCTGGCAAGTCCAGCGTTCTTGCCACTAACTCAGAATGAGCTAACAGCTTTCAAAAGCCCAATGATGTTATGTGTATAAGAGCATCCAACACTTTTTCCTACGTAAAAAAAGTGACATGTGTGCTGAGGTGCTCTAAGTGTAAATACTTTGGGAGACTTGATATTTTTTAACTTTTTTATTTTATTAAATAATGAAGAAACATATTTTCTGCCATACAAAAGACAGAATGTTAAAGTTAGTTTTCTTTTTCATTTTATGATTTCATTATGACCCCTAANAAAAAAAAAAACAAGGATCTGGCTGTAAATTGATATTAACATTTTTCAGTATATGTGTAAAACACATGTTTCAGAAGAATAGAAGAGAGAAACTGTCACTCACTGGGAAGCTTTAGAGCTATCTGGCTCCCTGGGAAACTGCATGCAACTATTCTGGTGTCCAAGGGTTTGACCAGTGAGTTTCCTCTTCCTGCAAAGAATGAATGCAGAAGTAATAGAAAGTCTGAGGGGGAAGATTTTAGCAAATGGCTAAAGATAATCCTATTCTGCCCACTCCAGCAGGTAGGAAGGTGGTGGTGGTGGAAGAAAAAGGGTGGGAGAGGAGAAATGCCTCTGTGTCCCTCCCAGGAGCTGGCACAGGGAAGGGGGCACTGGGAGAGACCCAAAGGCAGCAGCTCAGCCTGGTGAAATCCTTTTGTGTGTGGTCACCCCAGTCCCAGCAGTGCCACACAAAGCCAGCACGTTCTGCTCTGGTTCTCAGGGCCTGGCTGTGGCTCCCTTTCAGGATGGAGCACAGGGACTGCAACTCAGCACAGAATTCCCAAATTCACACACAGGAACACTGGCTTCTTAAGCATCCTGCTTAGTTTACTAGCCACTGTTCGGGGGGAGGGTTTAGAAAGTTTTTAATTTTAATTTTCTAATCGAATTGCTGCCTATACATGAATTTTTTTACTTCATTTATTAAAAGAATCAGTAAAAGCAAGGATTTGAAAAAAAAAAGCTTATCCTTATGTTTTTGATGGCATATTGACTTCGTAAGAGTCTACAGGCAGGAGTGATATATCAGGGAGTCCCTATAACTTTACTTAAAGCAAAAATTAGAAAGTGATCGGAAAGTTTTATAGAGGAGAGCAGAAACATAATTTTAAGCCTCTTAAAATTGCCTGAACTGTGAAATCAAGTAATGAACACTAGAAAAGGATCTGTCAGCTGGAATCAAAGCTTAGACTAGTCAGCATTTTCTTCCTAAACCTTATTATGGCAAAGATTTTTCATCTCTGCACTCTGTTCAGCCCAACAAATAAACCAACTTGACCTCCACCTGTTACCCGGTGAAGTTGGCTGTCATCTCTGACTAAACCCTTTTCTTTCCCTTCAAAGCCCTCGGCACCACTGAGAAGGTGGGAAGACACAGCTGTGCACTGACTCAAATTGATACCAGTTCATAACCAGACAGCGTTTCACAGTACAAATTACAAGCAACAGAGGAGAGGNAAATTTTACTTTTACACCTGTGCCACACTTAATTATTACTGATATCAAACACTCAGAGCTGGTAATTCATCCTGTAAGATGGAAAACTCTTTTGCATGGACAGAGATCACAGCCAGTGTCTCTGGGGGCTCTGTCCAGGGGGGTTCCTGACCCCTGCCAGGGTCCCAGACCTTCCAGGGCAGCCAGAGGGAAGCCCTGGATTCCCACATGAAGGAGGTGGAAAGCAGTTAATTCTGAGGCAGTTCCCAGCTGAGTGTCACTGTGGTGTGAGGGATGAGAGCCAAAGGGGCAGAGCAGCAGCACTGTCTCGTTCAGCTGTGGTCAAATATCAGATCTCATTAGAAAGAAAAAAAAAAAAAAAAAAAAAAAAAAAAAAAAAAAAAAAAAAAAAAAAAAAAAAAAAAAAAAAGAGGATAAAAAAAATGTAGTGCCAATGAATTCTGGAAGGGGGCAACATTTTTCATCCATTTAACAATGAGATTTTCATAAAAAGAAGTTCTTTTTTTTATTTTTTTTGTTTTGTTTTGGTTTTTTTTGTGTGTGATATTATGGACAAGCATTTGAGGCAAGAAACATTTTGCTCATGCCATAACAATGAACCTGTGCTAACACCACAGAGGAAGGACTGAAGAACATAATGGAAGCTATTTGTGTTGCTTTTATATTTCATAACTTGAATGCATTACACTGGTTCAAAGAGGTTCAGCTCCAATTGCATGTAGCTTTCTAGACTTAGGAACAAGTCACAGCTATATAATGCAACACTGCTAAATAAAAAAGAATTAAATATTATGGAAATCACAGAACAGCAAGAAATGTGCCATGAGGAAACCCATGTAGCTGCTGCAGTCATTTCTTCAAATATATCATCGTGGCAAAACCAAGTGAGAAGCTTTCTAATACAAAGACATATCAGAAAAAAGCCATTTCATATAAAGTTGGACTTCTCTGGGTGATTAATGCTACGTTCAACAAAGGAGACAGTGTCTGTCTAATTACATTAAATACTTATCTTCTAGGGATTGGCAGGGTGTTTCTGCTCAATGTCACTTTTCATGACAATGTAATGATAGATCTGTTTACTTACCAGTGCCATTAGCAAAAATTGTACTGTTTTCTCAACTGCCCTCATATCACGAAAATATTTGATTAACATACTGCAGCTTATCTAATACTCTAAGCAACATATTCTGCATAGTTTTCTCTCTATTAAAAGAACAAGATTACAGCTTGTAAAATTTTTATTGCACTCACACAGAAATAAATGAATAATGTGTGATAATAGTTCAAGTACCTTACTAGTTCACAGAACAGGTTTATTTGATTTAAAATATTAACTTGTAGTTGAAATACTAAGATTTTGGGGGAAACAAACAAATAAATAAAGTCAGTACTCTGAGGCACTACTTCCCATCCAGGTTTTAGTTATTATTTCCTTTTCATTTCAGCACATGTTTTGAAACTTTTAATACCTTAGGGGAGGGGAGAAAAATATAAAAGGAAAAAAGCTTTCATTCCTTTGCTGAAAAATAGATATGGCCATCTCCCAAGTCTTTAAAATTCACCACATCGTGAACTGACTCTTTGGAGTCATGCTACTGTGCCAACATCCAGCAAACAATAACCCTGTGGAAGAATGTACCCAGCCAAGGCAGTTTATATAGTAACAAGATAATTTCATAAACTTCTATTGAAGAGCGAGGCTGTGATGTAACATTCTAGCAGTATATATCAGCTACCTGATATTTACTAACAAGGTTAAACTCCTATCTGTTTGTCTCAGCACTCTTCATAATTCACTTTTTAATGGATGGACAGGAAAAGTCAGCAGTGTATGGCACAGATCATTTTTGAAATAGGACAAGACAGCTTACGGCAGTGCAAAACACCCTTCCTGTTCCCCAGCAATCACATCAAGCCTGGACTTTGCAACTACAGTGCTTCAAATCTGCTCATAAATCCTTTAGGGCCGTGTTTCTATTTCCAAGGAAATTGGTAAATTTGAGAAACAAAAGGTCCCCGAGGAGGAGGTGTCACCATCAACTGGTGCCACGTACCCAACATCAGTTCTCAGCTGCCTGGGTTGGTGCTCCTGAGCAGGAGAAGGCACGTGGGGAGCTGCCTTCCTTCCTTCCTTCCTTCCTCCTGTGAAAAGTGAGGACATCCACCCCATTTTGTCACAGCTCCTCGAGCTGCCGCGAAATGGCAGCAAGGACGCACCAAAAACGACTCGTACAGGCACAGATCGACCCAGCCATGCAGAATCGACCCAAACTGCCTTAAAATCCCTTGCAAGTGACTCTTGCAGGGAGAGGATGACACCACAGCCAACTGCCACATGCGACTCTCCAAATTAATAATGGATTTGGGATATTCATTCCCCGGGCTGCGAGGGTTCGGGGTGTGTCTGCAATTATCGAGATATAAGTCTGACACACATTATCCTCCTATCAATGTCATTTCCCTTAGTAGCCAACAGATTATCAGCAGCTTTGTGATATTCCAGGTGTCAAAGAAGAATTAAAACCACAACAATTGCACAAACAAAGGGACAAAAGATGGGATACGTGTTTTCTGAGCCCTGCATATCAATTTAATATGTGCAGCTGACAATGATGCAAATGTCCTCGGGAGAGAGGCAGCAAGATCCGTGCCCAAACATACACACACCACTGTCAGCAAGATGGCAGGGAACAGAAGCAGTAGGATTCCCAGCCCAGGACACATGCCTCAGCAGGCAGAGCAACCCAACGAAACAATCCTCTGGTTGGGGAGAATTTTGGAAGCACCTGATATGGAAAAGGGCCCTAAACAAGCCAGATGGTACTTTTAGCTGGCAGCAGAAAGTAGGAGACAGCCAAAAACATTACAGCATTTCCCCAAGAGGCCAGCAAATCGATTTTTAACCATTCTTTTTTTTAAAGTGACGCTATGAATATGAAAAATAATGTTTTGATGCCTTTTTAAATTGCTAATTTTATGGATAATACACTTATAGAGGACACAACTGGAAGAGAGGAGAAAGCAATGGATTTTGACTTTCCCAGGGTGGTTGTATATTTGACATCAAGTTCCTATTCAGTCACTGCCACTGTTTACTCAGAATTGAGTGTCAGTTTTTGTTCTGGGTTATCCACATAACATTAAAGAGGAAAACCCAGCAAAAGTAGAGAAATAGCACTGTAAAATCACAATAGCACGACAGTTCACAGGGCATGGGAGAAATGTGGTTTGTAAGACTGCTTTGTCCTCTTCAAACCTTCCCCCCACCCCAAATTAATGGGTTTATAGATGATCATTTTATAACAGAGGACAAACAGTTTCTTTAATACTTACAAGGTACCATTTGGCGGGGGATTTGCATAAGAAATACAGCTGTTTGGGGGAATATTTTAATTTTTAAAACCTCCAAACAGCCAGAATTTGCAATTCTGCCTGGATGACAGGGGTCTTTCAGGGATCAGTCTGGTGTCAGATATTGAACAGTCCCTTGGACCAGGAGCAGCTCCTTGCAGAGCACCTTTAGGTTACCTGTGGTTGGGGGAATTTCACTTAAAGATGGGAAACAGAGATGGGTTGGAGGGACTGAAAGGGCAAAGAGAGGCAGAGGAGTCATGAACCAAGTGGGAGTGAGCATCACCCTCTTCCTCAAAGCTGCTCCTCACATGTAGGATTGGCCACGCTCCGAGGAAGAGTCAGGATGATGCCTGACTTCCAATTGCTGCTATTTTGTTTAAAAGTAAAAGCAAGCCCTAAGACAGGGTTAAACCTGGACTAGATCCAAAGTGCTTTCTCCTGTTCAGAGCAAGGTAGTGCATTAGTGTGCTGCATCATGGATAATACTCCTGGAGACAAACGTGGGCTGCTGCAATAAAACACTGAATGCGAAGAAAGATAATCCATACATTTGTATTTTTCAAATCTCATTGATTGTAAATCCTTACATTTTTTTTTAATAAAATGATTTCCCTC